AGGTGACATTCAAGAACTGAGAGATGAGACCCTATCCCCGAGTGAGCCATTAATAAGTACTGATTGAATGAATGAGTCCATGTGTGCATGCTTGCTTGAATGGTCATTCGCCAACAGAAAGGAGAAAAGAAAGAGTTGTGATTTATTATGCACTGAGAAACCAGAAATGTTACCGAAAGATGTCTAAACTAGGAGTGAATGGGGGCCGGGCACGGTGGCTCATGCCTGTAATTCCAATACTGTGGGAGGCTGAGGTGGGTGAATCACTTGAGGTCGTGAGAGGTTCGAGAGCAGCCTGGCCAACATGGTGAAACCCCATCTCTAATAAAAATTACAGAGTCCATAGACACCGAGTGAGGTCTGATAGAATTTATGGCATTAATTTTGGCTGTTGTGGGGACTGTTTTATTGCCTTACTTAAGAGCTTGAGTTGCTAGACAACTGAAGGATTTTTCATTATCACCGGGCTAACCTACACGCATTCAGTTTTTATTTCATCCCACAAAAAGCAAAACCAGCCACATATGGCCCAAGTTTCTATGAAGGTTCCTCCAGGTTGCCCGTGTAGTTCTGACTCCGAGCTCCTACGCATGTGACTTTTCTGGCACAGCCACCAGAATCACCTTGAAAGGTTGTCACCTACCCATTCTTTAACAAAGCCATACCGCTCTGATCAGGAAAGACAAAGCAGGCCTGCCTCTTAGGCATTATGGCTTGTTGCGAAATGCCTTTTCATTTGGGGCCTATTATTATCTCCAGAAATTTCAGCCTCATGACATTTTACAAATCAAGAAGAACTTATAGTCTAAAGGACAGAAGGAGCAGATAACAAACAACAACCCTTGTAGGGACGTTACTCAATTATATGCCAAACACAGCCAACCTGACACAGAAGCATTATCATCACATCCCATTCAACAGCACCAGCGTTTAAAATGCCAGAAACATGGGCGAAGTTATTCAGGACTTAATGTGATACATGACTAGATCTATCAACAAACTATCATGAAACCATAAGCACCCCTAACGGGAGGAGCCAGTGCAGCCTTTGGTGATCTTAGTCTCTTAGAATTCTGCATGGAAAACGTAAATCGGGCCTGGAGTGGTGGCTCCCGCCTGTAATCCCACACTCTGGGAGGCCAAGGCAGGCGGATCACTTGAGGTCTCGAGTTTGAGACCAAGCTGGACAACACAGTGAAACTCCGTCTCTACTAAAAATAGAAAAATGAGCCGGGTGTGGTGGCACGTGCCTATAGCCCCAGCTACTGGGGAGGTTGAGGCAGGAAAATCACCTAAACCTGGGAGGCAGAGGTTGCAGTGAACCGAGATTGTGCCATTGCACTTCAGCCTGGGTGACAGAATGAGACTGTCTCAAAACCAAAGAAAAAGAAAAAAGAAAACTTAAACAAAAAGATTGTACCAAATATGGATTTTCCCAATGAAATAAAGGAAAGCAAGGAATGACAAGTATCTAGAAATGGTTTGTTTTTAGATTTTTTTCCCCCAGAGTCTTTCTGTTCACTTGATAAAATTTCAAACTCAATGCAGATTCAATCTACTTTAGAAAGTGTGGTATTGTGGGGTGCGGTGGTTCACGCCTGTAATCCAGTACTTTGGGAGGCTGAGGCAGGTGGGTCACCTGAGGTGAGGAACTCAAGACTAGTCTGGCCACCATGGTGAAACCCCATCTCTACTAAAAATGCAAAAAATTAGCTGGGCATGGTGGCGGGGCCTGTAATTCCAGCTACTTGGGAGGCTGAGGCAGGAGAACTGCTTGAACCCAGGAGGCAGAAGTTGCAGTGAGCTGAGATCATGCCACCGTACTCCAGCCTGGGGTACAGAGCAAGATTCCATCTCAAAAAAAAAAAAAAAAAAAAGTGTGGTATTAACGCATGAGTTCTTTCACTGGTCGGGGTTTCTATTTTGGATTCACATGGTATGGCTCTCTTTCCCTGCTTGATAGACTCAAGCAGGCTAAGTGCACCTATGTACAGGCAATTAGATATGGTAAGTATCAAAATCTTAAAAAGGACATAAGAAAACATTAATCCGGGTTGGGGTTGGGGAGTGTCGGAGTAGGGGAAGAAAACATTAATTCATTTGTCAAAAGTTACATAAACTTGCAGTGGTTAGAGAAGTGAAATTACTTTCTGCTAACCTCAATTTTCCCATATGCATATAAAAAGATATTAAACCTGCCATCCCTCCAGGAAACTCAAGGTCTTCAACCTCTACAGTTATTAGATTTCTTCCTATTTGCCTAAATATACAAAGCCACCAGGAAGTTTTTCCTAAGGAGGAAATATCTTCCAAATTTGAAACAATCACAGCCATTTTTTAAGTGACTGGCCACTTCTCAAAAGAAAAAAACCCTTGACTTCTTACTGCAAGCGTCACTGGGCAAAAATATACCCAAATCATGTTCTTTCATAATTGGTGAGCGCTTCACCTTGGTACTGTCATCATACAGGCCACAGACCCCACGTGCTTGTTATATCGCCTGTATTACACTGCAACCCCTTTCCCCAAAACTGGCAATTACAGAAATCTGCTGAACTGTTTTTTCCTAGATTTTCCTATGGACTGTTTGAGTTTTAACTATTAATAACACAGTTACTGGTATCTGTGTGTGACATATTATCATTACAATTGATCATACATAAACATTTGATTAAGGCTGTAGCTTTATTATATTTTCTACCTGCCCAAAAAAGCTAGATTATAAAGACTTAGTATTCCCAAGAAGTATTATTCTTTAGTTTCTCCTAAACCATGACCAGCAGAGAAAAAGTCACTCTCAAGCTGCTCTGTTTTATAAACACAGAATTGAGGATAAGAGGACATTTTTAATTGACTTTTCTTTTGGCAGGGGGGTGGGAAGGAGACGGAGTTTCCCTCCTGTCACTCAGGCTAGAGTGCACTGGTGCAATCTCGGTTCACTGCAACCTCCGCCTCCCGGATTCAAGTGACTGTTCTGCCTTAGCCTCCCAAGTAGCTGGGACTACAGGCACAAGCCATCATTCCTGGCTAACTTTTGTATTTTTGGTAGAGACAGGGTTTCGCCTTGTTGGCTAGGTTGGTCTTGAACTCCTGACCTCAAGTGATCTGCCTACTTTGGCTTCCCAAAGTGCTGGAGTTACAGGTGTGAACCACCACGCCCAGCTTAACCTGACCTTTAATTTGCTGCTTTCTTGTCTAAATTGGGGGTGGGGTGGGGGGGAGAAAGTTTACACACATTTTCATGAAACCAGAACCACAATTTAACAAAACCTTTAAACAGAATGAATCCCCAAGTTCACAGAAGTGTGAACTGCAAAATTACACATTGCCTCCAAGAAACACAGCACCTGGTTCTGAATTCTTTGCTAAAGCAAATGCTAACTTCTGACTCAGTCCACCGTAAAACCTCAAGCACAGGTAGATTTTCCTCTTACTCTCCATGACATACACGTCCCTCTAGCAAAACCAAAAACAGCATTTGGTGGAAACTAAATATTACAATTAACCGGGGACTCCGAGCCACTGAAAAAGAGTTTGCAAAGAAATCTCTTTTGCTCCCATCCTCCCCTCACCATTCCTGCCCCTTCCACAGAAGGGAACCCAAATCGTATGCAATTTGAAATTTTTAATATGAAGAAATACTGAAGTAGGAAGCACGTACCTGCTAAGCACCTGGTGCTCTCTTTCCCGGCTGGCTCTCTCCTCCCACACTCTGGCAACGGAATGCCCTTCAAAACCATGGTTCAGTGCTTTTGGTAAATGTTTTACGAGACACTAAACAGCCTTGTGTCCCACCCTCAGAGCAAACACCATTGAGGGAACACAATATAATGGTCAAAAAGATATCATGTAATGTACAATAATGTAAATGAACAAGAAGGCTCTATTTCCACACTTTCCCTAAGGGGGTTAAAAAAATGTCAAACTTTCAGGAGGTGAGGGCGGAGTTGCAGGAAGGGCTCACAGAAATAAACCTTAACACTGGAAGCGTTAGAGCATTTTTTTTTTAAGGTGGCATTACCATAAGCTCATTGTTCTAATCCTCCAACAAGCCTTGGCTTGCTGAACTGAAAAACTGTCAAAGGCAAGAGTTAATAAAGGGTGAAGTTCACCGGTGAATAGATAGATGCAGTAGCATCTCCACATTGACCACGTATTCCTATTTATCAGAGAAAATGCAACTCAAAAAAGTGCTCATAAACCATCCTCCACAATAACCAAAGGTACGTCCCATCTTCTGTATCCTTCAAGTTATTCACAGTTAAAACCCAACTCTGCTTCAAACCAGAAGTTTTGCATTCCATTCAAGTTAACAATTACAACTGGAGGATAACAGAAACTTGCTGGCACCAAACTATTAGCATACTCAGAATGTCAGGTGCCTCCTGGTACCACCAGGGTTAATGAGACAAAGAGAAGGTGCCCAGGGATCATCTGTTTGCCTGGTTTTACAGAAACTACCTATGGAGATTCCTAGAGTCTTGAGCTGATGCAAGCAGCACGCACCCAAGTGTTTCTGGAGCACAGTGGGACTGAGAAAGCAGAATTACTTAGCTACAGTCAAGCCCACTCGCTAAAAGGAGACCACAACGTCTAGAGAAGCTGCCAGAATTGGCTTTGGTTGCAGAATCACACTCACAGACAGGCTATGCAAAGAAGATAACCCACTCTCTGTCCCCACCCCTTCTCCAATCCCTGAGAGTGCTCAGAATTTTGCATTTCCTACCTTTAAAATGTCTGCTAGGGTAGAACAAAACAAAACAAAACCGAAGCTAGAACTGAGATCATGGTTTTCTACACTCCAGCTGTGTGACCTTGAGGGAGTAACTTGGCCTCCCTGAGCCTGTCTCCTCATCTATAAAGTACAAAGGTCTAGAGCCACAGAAGTTATTTCCAAGGACTGACAGCTCTCCAGATCCACGCACCTAGAAAATGCCACAGAGCAGTTCTTTACAGTTTTGAAATGTCAGAAGGGTTTTGTCAGCTTTTTGGTCTCCTACCTTATGTGGCTGGGTTCCATCCCAATGTCCTCATGTGGCAGAAGCTGCAGGTTAGTCCTGGGACTAAAGGGCAATTGACCTCACTTCTCCTGGGCCTGACTAATCTATTAGGGTGGGTACCATAAATGACCGTTTTATCTGCCTGCCTGAGGCGTGGCGAAGGGGCCTCCCCGCCCTCCAGCCCTGCCTGTCAGCTCCTTTGCTTTCACAACATTTCTCATCTCGCCCTCTATCACAGTGAACTGACCCGCCTCCTAACGCCTCATCCAGGCCTCCCTTTTTCTCTTTTTTCCCTCTCTTCCTCTCTCCTTTCTTGCCTTGTTTCCCTGAGAGGATCATAATGGACATTGGGGAAGGGCAATAATTCTCATCATTCTATTTCTTTTTCTTTTTTTTTTTTGAGACAGATTCTCACTCTGTCACCGAGGCTGGAGTGCATTAGCGTCATCTCGGCTCACTGCAACCTCTGCCTCCCAGGTTCAAGCAATTCTCCTGCCTCGGCCTCCCGAGTAGCTGGGATTACAGCTGTGTGCCAACACGCCTGGCGTATTTTTGTATTTTTTGTGGAGATGGGGTTTTCACCATGTTGGCCAGGCTGGTCTCGAACTCCTGACCTCAGGCAATCCCCTGACTCAGCCTTCCAAAGTGCTGGGATTGCAGGTGTGAGCCACTGCACCCAGGCCTTATCATTCTAGCTCTCCTTCAGCTTTTTTTTTTTTTTTTTTTTCAGACAGAGTTGCGTTCTTGTTGCTCAGACTGGAGTGCAGTGGCATGATCTAGGCTCACTGCAACCTCTGCCTCCCGGATTCAAGCGATTCTCCTACCTCAGCCTCCCAAGCAGCTGGGATTACAGGCACGCATCATCTCTCCTGGCTAATTTTGTATTTTAGTAAAGACTGGGTTTCTCCATGTTGGTCAGGCTGGTTTCGAACTCCTGACCTCAGGTGATCCCCCTGCCTCGGCCTCCCAAAGTGCTGGGATTACAGGCATGGGCCACTGTGCCCGGCCCTCATCATTCTAGTTCTCCTTCTACTATTTTACGTGACATATCACACAACCCAGTGGATGGGTTAGACAGGTATTATTATTCTCCAGATTCAGAGATGCAGAAAGATTCAACAACAGCCCAAGGTCACAGAGCCATTGCTGACAGACCAGGGGCTGAGGTGGCCTTTTCTGACAGGCCAGGACTTCCTTCAAGCCACTGACTTCCAAAAGCACCTCCTCTCAGAGCAGTAAGGCCCCACCTGGTCTAACCTGCTCTCCCCGCCACCTGTGGCATAGTTCCCTCTCAGATCAAGCTTCTCATCTTCCTTCCTTCCTCCCTCAGCACGGGCCAGCCCCTTATTCTAATTTTTAAGGTTTATCTCACTTGACCTCTTGTCCCTTGTGTGCCCTTCTTTAGGCAAACCCAACAGATATAGCTGGGAATATAAATGGGATCATAAGCATGCACCACCACGCCTGGCTAATTTCTTTGTATTTATAGTAGAGACGGGGTTTTGCCACGTTGGTCAGGCTGGTCTCAAACTCCTGACCTCAAATGATCCACCCGCTTCAGCCTCCCAAAATGCTGGGATTACCAGCATGAGCCACCATGCGTGGAGTCTGATGCCTTACTGTTCAGAAATATACTTACATTAAAAAGGAAAAAACTGAAAATACTTAAATTTTGATGAAAAAAGTTTGAAAGTGCTTCCATTTAGAGGTTTGAAAAAAATAAAGGAAAAAAGTTTGAAGACACAAAATCTGACTCCCAAACAGTGTTTCAATGGCGTATATTCTAGGTACCATCAGCCCTCAGTATCCGTGAGTTCCGCATCCCAGAAGTCAACCAATCACAGATCAAAAATATTCAAAATCTCATGTACCCCATAAATACATACACTACCATGTACCCATAAAGAATTAAAAATGAGGCCGGGCGCGGTGGCTCACACCTGTAATCCTAGCACTTTGGGAGGCCGAGGTGGGTGGATCACCTGAGGTCAGGAGCTCAAGACCAGCCTGGCCATCAGGGTGAAACCCCTTATGTTAAAAAAAAAATAAGAAATAAAAAATTAGTGCTTGCTTTGGCAGCACATATACTAAAAAACAAAAAAATAAAATAAAATAAAAATAATAAAAAAATAAAAGAAAAAGAATTAAAAATGTGAAAAGGGTGGCTGTGTGTACTAAACACATCCAGACTTCTCCTTCTTGTCATTATTCCCTAAACAATCCAGTGTAATGATGATTTATGTAGCATTTCCATTGGATTATGTATTCTAAGTAATCTAAGGATGACTCAAAGTATACAGGAAGATATGTGTAGGTTATACGCAAATACTACACCATTTTATACAGGGGACTTGAGCATCCGAAATCTGGGGGGCCTGCAACCAACCCCCCCAGATCACTATATAAACAAATGCCAGAATTTGGGGTTTTAAGGTAGTTGCTTTGCTTTTATTTTTTATTTTTATATTTGAATGGATGAGAAAAGGGGATTATAAAGCCCAGATAGCAAATAAGCGAGCCATCAAATCACACAAGACAAGCATTGTTTCTTTTCTTTTTTTTGAGATGAAGTCTCACTCTGTCACCCAGGTTGGAGTGCAATGGCACCACTGTGGCTCACTGAAACCTCCATCTCCTGGGTTCGAGAGACTCTCCTGCCTTAGCCTCCCCAGTAGCTAGGACTACAGGCATGCACCACCACACCAGGCTAATTTTGCTGTTTATTGTAGAGATGGGTTTTCACCTTGTTCATCAGGCTGGTCTCAAACTCCTGAGCTCGAGTGATCCGCCCACCCCAGCCTCCCAAAGTGCTGGGATTACAGGCCTGAGCCACCATGCACAACTGCAAACATTGTTTCTCAAGTGCCTACAATAATCAGGTATTTGATATATGACACTTCATTTAATTAAACAGACAGATGAGAGGACAGACTCAGAGAGGCTGCCTAAGGGTACCCAGCTAACAACAGCAGATCTTGAGAATCCAAGCCGGTCTCATTTGGAGCCCTCGCTCTGCCTGAGTCACTCTGGAATACATGCACACTGTAGCCTACTCACCCTAGGACCTGTCTACTGTCCAGTCAGGGTTGTCCAGTCTTTTGGCTTTCCTGGGTCACACTGGAAGAAGAATTGTCTTGGGCCACATAAAATACACTAATACTAATGATAGCTGATGAGCTTTAAAAAAAAATCCCAAAGAAAGGTTATGAATTTGTGTTGGGCCACATTCAAAGCCATCCTGGACATGCCATGGGTTGGACAAGCTTGGCCTAAATCAAGATCTGGGCCAGGAGTGGTGGCTCACACCTGTAGTCCCAGCACTCTGGGAGGCCCAGGCAGGAGAATTACTTGAGGCCAGAGTTTAAGATCAACCTGGGTAACAAAGTGATATACTTGTCTCTATAAAAAACACAAAAAATTATCCAGGCATGGTGTTGCCACCTACTTGGGAGGCTGAGGTGGGAGGATTGCCTGGGCTAGGAAGTAAGCCAAGATCACAACACCGTTCTCCACCCTGGGTAACAGAGTGAGATCTTGTCTTAAAAAAAAAAAAAAGATTCACTTGCATGTATTTTCTGCCACTCTCTGCCCAGAACCCATATAGCCCTGCTTTTTTTTTTTTTGAGACCATATATTGCTTTGTCGTCGAGGCTAGAGTGCAGTGGCAGGATCTTGGCTCACTGGCTCACTGCAACCTCAGCCTCCCAGGTTCAAGTGATTCTCCTGCCTCAACTTTCCAAGTAACTGGGACTACAGGTGTGTGCCACCATACCCGGCTAATTGTTTGTATTTTTAGTAGAGATGGTGTTTCACCGTGTTAGCCAGGATGGTCTCAATCTCCTGACCTCATGATCCGTCTGCCTCAGCCCTGTTTTTCTCCTTCAGTCCTTTACCTTAGCCTCCTCACCCTCCCCTCCCACTTCTCTCCATCCTACCCTCTTATCCCTAATTAAGATCATCTCTACAGTTCACTTAGAAATCTACTGATGAACTCTATTTACTATTGGAGCCCTCCTGTGACAATAAAACCCAACCAAAAATATATGGATTCCCCTACTTTGGGTAAGCCCTTTACGTTCATTTTCTTTGTGTGTGTGTGATCACAAATTTGATATTTGACTTTAAACCCCAGAGGCTGTATTAGAATTCCGTGTTCTATACAGCACTTGGCATATAAAAGTCTCATGCTGCTCAGAGACTCCATTCTGCGTCCCTGAGAAAGGACTATGCCTTCTGTGCAAGAGAAATGTCTTATAACAGCATTTCCCACCTCCAGCCATGCAATTCTAAGTGGAGTTTTTGCTCTATTGTTTTTGGTATGCTAGCATGCAGGTATACTCCTAGAATTTTCAACTGCAGAGCTGCAATAGGGCAGAATAATGCATCTCTGGCGGGTGCTGCTCTATTGCCCCAGGTCTATTCCAAAGCATCTTTCAGCTATAGGGGCCCATTTCTAGCCTATCTTTGAGGCTAGTTTATATTTGACCTACAGAATAGTTTCAGCTTCTGAAAAGAGTTTTGCACTCCCTTGGACACTAGGGAAAAGTAGAGGAGAAAGGAGAGGTAGAGATTTAATCTGGAGTTTCTAAATCTTCCAGAATCTTCCAAAGGCCTAGGAATTTCCAGGAATCATACTGAAACCCCTTTAGAGAGCTTCAAAGAGTGCCACGAATGAGACCTCAGAAACTGCTCATCACCTATTATCAGAATTGCTTTTCTAAAATTTAAAAAAAAAAGAAAAGAAAAGAAAAGAAAAAGAAACTGCTCATCACCTAGCCAACTTCAACAGATGCCTAAGAAAGGGCTCAGCGGCTCTTGGTGTTTTCCTGAACTGCGCAAGGTAGGAAGGGCTGGAAAAGGAGATAAGAGATCACTCTACACTGTCTGGTACTGTGTATCATGGGAACATCAGCCACTAGACCAGCAGTTCTCAAAGTGAAGTCCCTGGAACACTGAGGGGCTCTGACATTCTTTATAATACTAACATATTTCCCTTTGTCACTGCATTGACACTGTACTAGTGATAAAAAGGCAACGAACGGTGGCTAAAACTTCTAACACTGTAAGAGGCAGTGCCACCAAAGTGTACTAGTAATCGTGGCTTTTTTTTATTTTTGAGGCAGAGTCTTGCTCTGTCAACCTAGGCTGGAGTGCAGTGGCGCGATCTCGGCTCGCTACAACCTCCAACTCTCAGGTTCAAGCGATTCTCCTGCCTCAGCCTCCCATGCAGCTGGGATTATAGGTGCCTGCCATTATACCCAGCTAATTTTTGTAGAGACGGGGTTTCACCATGTCAGCCAGGCTGGTCTTGAACTCCTGACCTCAGGTGCTCCACCTGCCTCAGCCTCCAAAAAATGCTGAGATTACAGGCATGAGCTACCACATCTGGCCTATAGTATTTATTTTATTAAGTCTCAAGTAGATGTTTTAAAAATATTCTGTGTGATGAAATAGAAAGTATGATAAAGATTTCTACTGTATACCAAATTATGATTGCTGTCTTAAGGAAACATCACTTGTGAGAGGCACAGCCTAAACTACTTGATAAAACAAACTATGATTATTTAGACTTGAATATCCGGCAGACATTTTCTAGAAAATGAATGAAGTAACTCACCACGCCTGGCTAATAATTTTTAAGAATATAAAAACAGGGCTGGGCACAGTGGCTCATGCCTGTAATCCCAGCCCTCCTATCTTGAGCTGGGGAGTTCAAGATCAGCTAGGGTGGGCTGGGCGTGGTGATTCACATCTGTAATCCCAGCACTTTGGGAGGCCAACACAGGCGGATCACCTGAAGTCAGGAGTTGGAGACCAGCCTGGCCAACATGGCGAAATCTTTAGTCTGTACTAAAAATACAAAAATTAGCTGGGCACGGTGGCAGCCACCTGTAATCCCACCTAGTTGGGAGGCTGAGGTGGGAGAATTGCTTGAACCCGTGAGGCACAAGTTGCAGTGAGCCAAGATCACACATTGCACTCCACCCTGGGTGACAGAGCAATACTCTGTCTCAAAGATCAGCTTGGATAACATGGTGAAACCCTGTCTCTCTAAAAAAAAAAAAAAAAAAAAAAATTAGTCAGGCATAGTGGCATGAGCCTTTGGTCCCAGCTAGTTTGGAGGCTGAGGTGGGAGGATTACCTGAGCCTGGGAGGTGGAAGCTGTAGTGAGCCATCATCACGCCACTGCACTCTAGCCTGGGTGACAGAGTAAACCCTGACTCAAAAAAAAAAAAAAAAAAAGGTAAAACAGGGTTGTCAGATTTAGCAAATAAAACTTCAGGGTGCCCAGTTAAACTTGAATTTCAGATAAGCAATAAATATTTTTATATATGTTCCATGTACTATTTGGTAAATTATTTACTGCTTATCTGAAGTTGTAGCTAATTGAGTGCTTGCATTTTATCTGTCTGTGAAGCTGTCCAGAGACCCCAAGATTTGAGAAACACTGCACTGGGCTATGTCCCTCCCACATATGCTGAAACACTCATATGAACACTTATTAAGCACTTGCTGTGTACCAGACACAGTGCTAAATTCTCGACATATACAACATCCTCCAAAATCCTAAGTGCCAAGTACCCTCATGATCCCTATTTTCTCTTACAAATGAGGAAACGGAAGCCCAAAGAAGTCAAGTGAAGCTAATTATTGGTGGAAAGCAAGACGGGATTCAGACTCCAGCATCTCAGCTTGTACCTATTAGGCTTATACTGAACTCTGAATAAATGAGATTTCTAAAGATGGTTGGCTTTTCTGCATATTTTCGTCTCACACTTCAGCACATCTATTTCTGTTGCTCATCTTTTGTGTGTTTCACAGCTGTGTGTTCTGCTATCAGAGCAACCATGAAAACCAAGGCTGGAAGTGCCGTGTGTGTCACGCATTCTTTTTTTTTTTGAGATGGCATTTCACTCTTGTTGCCCAGGCTGGAGTGCAATGGTGCAATCTTGGCTCACCGCAACCTCTGCCTCCCGGGTTCTAGCGATTCTCCTGCCTCAGCCTCCTGAGTAGCTGGGATTACAAGGACGCACCAACACA